TGTTCTTCCTCTAACTCCATCAGCAGCCTTACATTCCTTACCACTTCTTCCTCCCAGCTTGCACAGGACTGCAGTAACTTCCTTTAGTTTTTGATTTGTAGACTGTTTTCCTCCTTCCATCCTTGAATTTTGTGGTGCTGAATTAGACTCATCCTTCCATCCTAAGCAGCTATCATCACTCCACAAAGCTTGACTCAGAAAATGTGAGGTTTCCCAGTGGTTTCAGTGAGGGATAGGCCATGTACTCTGAAGTGCGCATCTTTTAAATTTTATTTTTTGTGCATGTGAGCATGTGATTTCCCATGATGATAAGAAGGAGCATTTATTCTTGATCATGGCTTATGCTAACATTACCATAGTAAGCCTTTATCTAACCACCACCCATGCAGTAGTTATGCTGTGCATCTGTCCTGCCTATCTTTGGAGGTGCTGGAGAAGCTGCTAAGGAGTAGGAAAGAAGAGATCAGTCACTTTAGGCACAGATTTTGATTTACTAGTTACATGCTCCCTTTGCAGTTGCTGGGATGTATGCTGTGCTCTGGTTTACATCCACTGTGATCCTGTGGAATATAAGATTGCACACAGGGTGAATCCATGTAGGTGTAGTCCTGCCTGCAGCAAATTAATGTAGTTGTTCTCCTCATCTTTATTACTCATAACCATGTTAACTCTTTCCATCTTGGTAGCAGGACAACTTTTGGTCTCAGGAACTTAAAAATGTCTCCGGTTGTGCACAGGCATCTGTACAGGAAATCCATCCTTTTGAAATCTTTTCAGGATACTCCTGCCTGCTGTGCTTTAGAATTCAGTACATACGCTTAAAACACACCTGCCTGTACTTGTATAACCTCTTGCCTTTCTTGCCTGTGCGCCAGTTGCACCCAACAGTATCAAAGCAGCCTATGGAAATATGAAAATGATCATTAAACTAACGCTTTGCATTTTCACTCTGGTATCTTCAAGTATTTTGCAAGCTAAGAAATTTAAGTATTCCACCTCTGAGAGAAGCACTCTTCCCATTTTCCAGATAGAGAAGCTAAGGCCTTGCCAAGGAAAATGATTTGCATGGTGCCCTGCAGTGGATGAAGTTGATGGGAGAGCTGAGTATGGAGCCTTGGAGTCCCAGTTCCCTGTCTAGCAGTACAGTGCAGAAATCTTGCTAGGTCAGATATGGAAAACAGTCTAGCCATGGAAGTCTAGACTTGCGTGCATTAGCCTGTATGGCCACAGTGAAGCTGCTTCCAGTACTTGAGCTAGCTTGCGCTATGTTGTACTGTAGTCTGTAGACAGATATACTCAACCTTTTGTATTAGCCCAGTCTATGCGATTTCTGTGAGATCTACTAATTTACCTCTTCCTCCCCTTTAGTCCCCCCAATTATGACATAAATCCATCTCCCTCTCTTAAGAGACTTCTTTGGAAGACTTAATTGTGGGTGAGAGTAAGGGGGCAGCTGAAGTTTTATTTTTGTTTCTCTAAATTATTAGCCATCTCTCTCTCTTGGGGTGTTTTACCACAGAACCTTAAAGAGCACAGTTAAAAGAAAGGCAAATACAGTTCTAATGAGGCCAACAAGAGAAGGCTGAGGACTCCTCCTGGACTACATGCCTGATATTTCTGGTTTTGTTTTTTGATATAGTCTTATTTTTGTTTGGTCTTGCCCAGGCTGTTGCTGCACCACAGGGAGGGCTGCAATCCAATGGGCCTTTCATGTGGTTGGTGTTAGCAGGAGATGCTGTCATGCTGGGAGACACTAACAACATAATGAGCAGCTGACTTTGCTCTCACTCAGTCTCTCCTATTTGTCTATGAATTGGATCAGGGAGAAGACAGATCAGTAAAGGCATTTTACTTCAAGCTCTGGTTTGAGGTCCTTTTAATTAATTTATCATTTTAAATAGTGGTACTACAGGGGCAGTAGAATGGACTTCCTTTGGAAATTTCCAAGTCTGTCCAAAGTCCTGCAAGTCTCATGCTTGGAGGTCAGTTACAGCCTCAGATATATTCCAGCTGTTTCAGTATAGTCACGTTACCTCACAATACAGCATCAGAACAGGGTATCATAGCAATGATGTGAAAGCATGTGCATCTTGTTGCACGGATGCAGAAGGAGCTTCTTGACACGAAGGTACTGTGTCGCAATTCTGATCTCTGTATTTAATGTCATAGCATCCAGTGTTTCCCTGGATGTTTGTGCCCTCAGGCCTCCCTCCTGCTCCATGCTTTTCTTAAAACTAGCCTTGATCTTTGCAGTCAGTAACGACAGGTGAGCACCTCCTGGAAGTACAGCACTATACAGGCAGTCACAAGGCAGGGCTAAAAAAACAGTATAAACTACATCTTCTCTTTCTACTTTCGAGGTTTAAGTTACTTCTTCTGGCTTTGCCTCTGCCACTACTATGCTGAAATTGTGTTTTCTTTGGTACAACCACCCAAGCTTGCTGGGACACTGGTATTTGATTTGTCATAGCTGCATGGGTTTGTGCATTTTATGTTAACCTTTACAATTCTAAAGACTACTCCTATCCCTGGTACCTTTTATAGAACTGCTGAAGATGATAATATTTCAATCCTCCCTCTCTTTTCTTTCTTCCCCCTGCCCTTCCCTCCACCCAGCTTCTTGACCATACTTGCTATATCCACTGAGCAGTGTGAAATTATTCCCATGCCCCTACCTCTGTGCCTGAGTGCTACAAATTGTCCCACCAACAAGCAGAGAACATTTCATTTCCTACTTACCCCTTCAGTCACTGCTCTGACTTCTGTGTCTTTGTTCTCCCCACTCTCCTTTTTCTGACACCATCCACCTTATCCCTGATAGCCCTAGGCTTTAAGAAAAGATTGGGAAATGGGCAGAGAGAAGGAAAAGTGTTGGATTCAGTTGGGTAATAAAAGGGATCTTGCTGGAAGGAGGGGAGTCTGGATAGTACTTGTTCCAGTCACAAATCTTAACACAACTCCATATTCCCATAAAAAGCCCCTCTTACACAGCACATCTCCAGTCATACTTCATGCCCCTGGGAATCAGCAAGGCCTCAGCTGATAGCCAGCAACTTTCCAGAAGGAAAAAGATGCCAATGACTGAGTTAAAGAATGCTGCGCTAGCTCAAGTCTCAAGATGGTTCAGGGTGCATTTCATCCTTCCCTGTTGGCCTGTTCCTTGTGCAGGGTTTCAGGGCTCTGAAAAATCCAGAGAGCCTTGCCTTTACAAAGCAACATGTTCCCTTTTCCATTTGCCTGTAGGTGGCTCCAACAGTTCAGCTTGTGTTCTGGCTCCCAGACCCAAGCCAAGCACGCCCATTGCAGGTGTGCATTCTAGCACACGCCAACCAGCTGCTGTCACTCTGGGTGCCAGTCTGTAACTCACCCAAGAATTAAATAATGCAAAAGAAACTGTTGAATAAACTTTTCAAAATAAGCTTTGTGGTTTATTTTCCTCTCTCCAGGTTTTAAGGTTTGTTTGTCTTTATTATGTCAGACTTCCAGATGTTGCTGGGCCCGGGCCATCTTTATAAATATGTTCTTATTTGTAAAGCTGCCTGAGAAGCATGCCTGTGACCACCCTTGCCTTGTCCTTTGCACCATCTTGCAAACTTATAGTTTTGATTGAAGCAGAGATCAATGCAGGGTTCTGTTTTTCATTTATTTTAAGAAGAGGCTCTCCTGCTTAAAGGGATGTTGATTGGGCTGGAAGTCCTGAAGTATAGCTCTCCAATCTGCCTCCTACCTGCCCAACAAAGAAAATGGCAGCCTGACCCATTTTAAAATATACCCTGGTATAGAGAAGGCTGCTGGTCTCTGAACCTGCATCTGAAATGGGTTTGGAAGATCCACCCACAGAGAACTTGAATGTTAGTGTTTAGTCTGCCCCCAGCACCAGACTGCCGGAAACTTACTTTGGGATCTGATTTAAGAATGCAGACGCCCCTCCTCTTAATAAAGGATCGATTTGGGTTCTTTGGAATCTGCTCAGTGCATCCCAAGCTTGTCTTCCAGCAGTAAGTCAGAGGTGAAGCAATGAGTGTGGCAGCATGCAGAACATGTCTGGTTGCTGTCTATCACCTATTTTCAGGGGTCAGCTTTATTCATGAGGGAGAGGTAGGTACAGAAAGGGAAAGCTAAAATCGTAGTTTTAATCCACCTCCAGGAACACAGTAGCACAGTAGTGCAAGTCAAGTTGTTAATATAATGAGTTGGAAGTGAGGCAAAACCAGTGTATTTCCTTATTATTACTTATGAATGGATTTGTCATCTGTCTGTTGCAGCCTTTAATCTTGGTGCCTTTAATCAGCATTGTGAAAGCAATTAAAGCATGCAAGTACAACATAAAGGGTCGGATCATGTAAATAAACGTAGCAAAATTGTCACATTCTGCCCAAACCCTTTTCAAACAATCAATAAATAGATCTTGCAGTAAGCAAATATGTTCCCATTCCTAATATTCAGGTCCTAGTATAACAGGAACTATTGTGAAACTTGGTACTGATTATGCCCCTTGTTATCAAGTGCCAGTGGGGAAACCAAAGACAGAATGGGCCATAGAGACTGGGTTGGAGGAGATCCCTGCAGGGTCAGGCTGAGGCACAACGACTGATAGGAAGTGTCCAGGAAATGTTTCCCTTGCACCTGCTCTGTGGATGCCGAGAGAATATTGGTTTTTAGAGCTTTGCTAGTACCTCCCACTCATGTTAAAATCCAATCTTTTTCTTTTTCAAAAGATTATATATGCCTCTTTCAAAATAGGCCTAATTTATGGACCTTAACTCTAGAAGAAAGGAAGTTTCATGGACCTCTGGTGACAAAAGAGCCCTTGTTGCCTGTACCCTGCCTATGCAATAACCTCATTGGCCAGGAATTGGCCTCCTCTGGCCATGGGAGGCAGAGTATGATAATCCCATATGCTCAGCAAGCCAAATGGGTAATGGTGAGACAGTAGCAACTTAGAGACTTTAATGAGAGCATCACCTTTTGTTTGGGGGATTGTGTGTTCTGAATTCCAGGTTCTCCGAGCCAGACCCCAGCCACACACTAGAGGAGCGAGTGGTGCATTGGTACTTCAGCCAGCTGGACAACAACAGCAGCAATGACATCAACAAGCGGGAGTTGAAGCCTTTCAAGCGTTATGTGAAAAAGAAAGCCAAACCCAAGAAATGTGCTCGACGCTTCACCGACTACTGTGACCTCAACAAGGACAAATCTATTTCACTGCAAGAGCTGAAGGGGTGTTTGGGAGTCAGCAAGGAAGGAGGTGGGTGACTTTTTGCTTCCGAGTGGAAGCAATGCTCCACAGAGCAATATAACTAGACTGAGTTAAAGCAGTACCTGCTTGTCTTCCCGGTGATTGGAGCTTTATTACTCAGTTTGCGAGAGAAAAGGTGTGCTTTACTAGCATTCAGCTTTGCAAACCTTCTTTGTTCTTGTTTTATTACAATTATTTTGTTTGTGCTGTGGTATCACCTAGGAGCCCGTAGTGTCTTCTAGGACCCTATTGTGTGATAGGAGCTGCATGTCCACAGAGGAAAGAGATTTGTTCTTCTCCAGAGCCCAGCATGCAGTTTTAGTTGGGTTCTTTCTTGGAGAAGTACTGTCAATGATACTCTGTGATCTGAAGCTTATGATTCATTATGCAATGCTAACAGGAGCAAAATTTATTTAAGTCACAAAAGTCAGCATGCAAGAGAATAAGTACTCACAGGGAACTGAGCAGGTGAGAAAGACAGACAGCATAGTGTTACACCACCACTGTTTTCTAAAAGAGAACAGCAATTAAAGACTGGCAGAATGAGAGGCCTGCAAAGAGGTGACTTTTGGATTGGCCCCAAACCTAAATGTTGGGGTTTTGGCAAATGGAAAATGTTTAATTCAAGCATCAATTGTATTCAGTCACTGGTAAAAGCCAAGGGCTAGAGTAAAGCAAAAACAACAACAACAAAGCCCCCAAACAAAACAAAAAACAAACAGAAACCAGGATGAAGACAAGTATGGTGATTCTTGTGATGATACCTTCCTTTCATTTGACTCTAATGGTGAGGATGCTTCCCTGGGATGTGAGAGGCCCATAGGTGGATCATCTGTAGGGGCTGACATGGATTCCAGCCTCTAGAACCTCCCAGGAGAAGTGCCCTAGCCATTGGGCTATAGGTCATTCTGGGGTTGGTATCTCTGGCACAGGTGTTGAAACTGTTTCATTTTATATAAAAATATTTCAGTATTTATGGGGTGAGAGTGAGTGGAGAGACTATAGCCCAGAGGTGACTGGGGCACAGAAGGCTGGCAGGAGTCGCCATAGAACGTGCTGTGGAGTTAACATGGTGTGTAGTTAGCTGAGACCGTTGGCTACAACTACAGTCGATGAGCTGATCCCTTAGGCTGTGTGGGATGGATTGGAGAGGGCTCTCCCTCCCCGCCCCAATCAACCCACATGCCACGTTAAAAGCTCATTTGCTCTACTTTTCACACCAGTGGGGATGGGGGCTGGTTGCAGTTGGTTGCTAGCACGTTACATGTTTTTATGAGCTTTGCAAACATTCATTAATTTAAGCCTTCACATCCGTGGTCAGCAGTTAGAGAAGAGCCAGCTTCCCTAGTTTAATGAAAGCTTTTCCTTAGTCACCAGTATCTTACTGTGGAAAAATATACAATAATAGTGTCTGTATCCCTTAATTTTATTACCTTCCTACTAAGATTAATGTGCCAAATGAGTTTTACTGTGATCTGGCTTGGAGTGAGACTTGCTGGAATCTGCTGCCCAAGCCAACTGGCTCTTCAAGGCTTTAGTTTATGAAAATACATAAGACAACAAAGGATGGAATAAAACAAGAGCATCTTTGCTCTGCCAAAGATGAGGGGAAAATAAAGCAATGACCAGAAAACTCAGACTTATTGTTGTAAGAGTGCGACTGCCAAGCAATACTTGCTTAGAGCACAGCCTGACCTTTCTGTGGCTTCCTTCCCTGCATGAGGAAGAGTCTGTGTATACAAAATAGGGCTCCAACCTTGTTCTGTCACACAACTCGGCATGCCTCCTCGAGACCAGCCTGGCCCCAGGGATCAAAGAGGAATGCACAAGTAGTACAGGGGGAGGCTTGTGGGAGAATAAGGATGGAGACCCAACACTAAGCTCTTGAGTGACCTGAGGGAAGTAGTGAGCTGAGACTGGAACACTGAATCTTCCTCTTCCAGTTCTTTTCTCTTCTTTTATGTTTTTCAAGAGATGGCATTAGACAAACCCAGCTTTGTAAAGCAGCAAGGGATTTGCGAGGCAGTGAGGTAGATTGGCTTTGCTTTTATTCTACTTAAGTCTTTCCATATGAAAATCAAAACTCCCCTAACACCCACCCTCTGTGTCCCATAGCAGTGATGGACTGCCAAAGGTGGATCTAGAATTTTGAAAAGGGGGGTGCAGATGGTGAGGTGCATCAACACACATAAAACAGTACACATTTTTCTCCAGTTAAAAATAAATGAATATGCTAGGGTCCTAGAGTATTATTCAGTTTAAGGCTGAAGTTATACAAATATAACTTAATTGGAATGAGTTATAAACAGTCTGCAGGGCTGTAAAATAGGAGCTTTATTACCAGGAGCAGCTAACAGACAGCAGAACTGCAGATCAAAGATGGCTTGATTTGGTAGAATATCAAGTCCATAAAGAAGGAGAGAGCATCATCAACAACTGTGGAAGGCAGAGTTTAGAAGGGATCAGGTTGATGATGATGAGCCATGAAGTCATTTGATTTCCTCAACACAGTCTAACTAGAAATGCTGCTGCCACTACCAAGCAGTTAGTTTTAAACTTTGGATGGAGCAGGAGTCAAAGGGGGATGCAACTGCACCAGTGCATCCCTCTGGATCCACTCCTGTAGACTGTGTGGCATTCATGCATCAAACCTGGCTGAGGTATATACTGTATTTCCATCCTTTTCCCCAGCCCCCAACATCCTTTTAGTACCTGTAGCTAATCACCCTCCCAGTGATTTCCATCCAAACCTGTCCACAATTACATTCTTCCCCCATCCCCAGTAGTACCGAGGAACTCATCATAGACTCCAACAAGTAGGGTCTCTTTTCTCTGGTTCTGGTATTGGTTTGCTAAAATATCATCCATATGCCCCTCTAGGACAACTCTGGAGACATACCATTCCTGGAAATCAGGATGGAGAGGTACCTAGGAACCAGCCAAGATGTTTGCTGATCCCACAAATAGTTCCCTAAAACAAAGGAAGAAGGGTGGTTCAGGGTGTGATTGGAGCCTGGCAAGGAAAGCATCCCCTCTCAGTAGATTCAGGTGTGTCTGACAAAGGGTGGTTGGAAGGAACCCAAACTGATTCCCAACCAGGTAAAATCAGCATTCACCAATGGATTCTGCACAGCAAAGCTGGAGGGTAGAAACACTTTTTGGTCAAAGGCCAATTGTGACTGTACTCACTAGTCAAAAGATGGAGTCCTTTGGAGGAAGCAGACCGGCTGCAGAGCTTTGATGGAAAGTTACAGAATTCAAGACAAATTGGTGCCTAGTGATCTTAGAGAGGGGGACTAGGCATGAGCAAGGCTCGTGCTAACTGCCACCTGTCAATGGGGAATTTTAGAAACAGGATTGAAGTGTCTAATTAAAATTTCAGGGAGAATTGGTAGAAAAGCAACATGTAATTGCCTACTGAAGCTGAGCAAACACTGCAAAAAAGAAGGAAGGTAGAAGCTGAGCAAACACTGCAAAAAGAAAGCCCTGTAAAGCCTGTGACTTTGGCAATATTTCTGATCCCTTTGTTACGTTCTGTAGAAATTGACATGAGTGAATGTCCTTCCAGGACAGTTGTGGAAAGGAAAAAAGTCCTGTGAATACTATTGTAAATTCGTATTGAAAGATTGTGCGGGAATGCTTGGGTGGCCATCTAAGAAAAGGTCTTTGGGTTTGGAAGAAGATGACTCAGCGTGTCACTTGGATGATTGCTCCTACCTTGTGAATGACAGAAAGCAGGTTGTCATGGTGAATGGTTGGCAATCATTGTAGCAGCCGTAACATGATTATAAAAGTTATTCATTCCGTGGTTTTGCTTAATGAACAAGTTAGGAAAAATCAAAGTCAGATTATAGATAATTGGCAAGTGGGGAGAGAGGGAAATCTAAATACGCTGAGTATTTTAATTGAATAAGTCACTTAGTTCAGTTACCCACTTCAGAGTTCAGGTGGGGATAATAGAGCTTAACAACTTTAGGCTATCAGAAAGCTTCTGGTGGGGTGGGGGGCAGGCGTGAGGGTTATTAACGACCAGAGCTGACCAGGACATCAGCTTTAGATCCAATCTGAAAGGTAGCATGTCTAGCTATACACAGTGTCTCTGCTTTATGGTTGGGCATTTGTTCATTATTCAGAGGAATGAGTGCAAGCTACTGAAGTATACCAGGTTTTCACTGAAAGCTTCCAATCCAAGAACCAGCTGGCCTGATTCAATTTCACTTGTGAATGCGAACAGAGTGATATCCTGAAAGTGAATTTGTGATGCTGAACTTTGCTTTATGCAGTTAACTCTTGGAGTGTGTGAAGAGGGGGAGAAGAGGTTCCCTTTCCTATCCCATTCTCACCATCAGCATGCCTGAGTACCTCACTATCATACGCTAGCAGCTTGATACTTATATCTGTTGCCTGTGCGTCTGTCTGTCTCATCAGTTGTGTTCATTCTGCCTTGTTTCGCTTTGTTTAAGCTTGTATGTCGGTAGTGTGTCAGGGAAGGCACGACAAAGACAACATGCATTTGTTGTGAAAGGTGGTAAGATTTGTGAAAGTCCTTAGTCTCAGGTGAATTAGTCTTAGACCAACCCTAAGAAATCCCTGCCCCTGGCACAGATAGCAGAAAGGTCTTTTGTGCTTGGGACTGAGTCTGCCAGTCTTGTTAAATGTATAGTGTCAGTTTAGCTGTAGTTTTCCAATTATCATTCAAAGACAAGTGGGTTTTCAGGAGAGACACCATCAATAGTCTACTCAGTGAATTGTCTGGGTGCGAAGAGTGTTCTTTACTGCCTCCTTGTTGCATGTGCAAGGTGCCGCTGACCCAAGAGGAGGATTTACCTGCTTAAAAGTCTAAGGGGAAAAAACCCTTTTAGAATTACTGACAGCAGCCTGCGGGCTGCTTTCAACCCAATTTGGGTACTTAATAGGGATTTGCAGAGAAATGTTTGCAAGACCCATTGTGAGTCAAATGCAGTGGGAAAGAGGGCTCGGCTTTCGCATTCCTGCTCAGCAGATGCAAGTGGAAAGGTAGGCGCCTTCCTTTGGGGGCACAAGGTTCCTTACTGTTATAGAATGAACAGTCTGGTGGCTGTGAGATGCCAGCGCATGATGGCTTCCATTAGCGATAGTGCTAGGGTAGGGACGTGTTATATCATTGTTTTACAGCAATGTGATGTTTGCTGGTGGGGTGGGAGGAAATAGAAATGTGTCTGCTTTTCAAACGCATGGAAAACATGAAGAGGAAAAAAAGTAGTATTTCAGACAGTTCAGTAGCTCAAGAATACTGCAGTTACTGAGCAGCACCCTCTAGAGGCTGCTGCAGGGCTCGCAGCCAGTAGGAAAAGTCCAGGTATGTGCTTGTGCCTAAGCTAAAGGATGGAGAAACTCGTAAAGATCCTGAATTTTTAAGGCCCGGTCTCTGGGTAAGATCCCCAGTTAGCTCTGGAAGAACCCACCTTTTGGCAGTGGAGCTGTGCTTTTTATACACAGGCATCAAAACAGCTTAACTGTAGCTTCTGTTTCTCAGGAAAGGATGGCTGGCACTCGGAATTACTTTAAATTTTTCATCAAATATATATATGTCCCCTTTTAATTAAAAAGCAACAGATCTGTATTTTAGAATCTCTTAAATTTCACCACCTTATTGATTCTCTCCCTCCTCTCCCTTCCTGCCTTCTCCCCCAAAGCAGGGTGCCACTAACAGGAATGCTTTTGTCCTGGTTTCTTTTCTTCATTATATTGTTTGTTCTCTTTTAGACCTCTGTGCCTTCCACCTTCCTAAATGCCCTCTTGTCCCTCTCTTGCACAGCCAGCATCTAATATTTTAGATTCAGTCTCCTTCTGCAAGAGCAAGTATTACTGGTGCAGGTAATTAAGCTTAGTCATTTACATCTCTAGGCCAGAACAGGATCTGGAAGCACACTTACTGGTTCTGACTGGAAGTGGAAGTGCCTGTTTTCCATCACCAGCCAATCACCAAAATTGTCAGATGGAGGCAGGTGACATCTTTTAAAGTCAGTCACCTAAAACCTACAATTGGGCACGTAACTGGAAATGGCTTTGAGAGTGGTGGGCCCCTGCCACTCCCCTGAGAGTTGCAAATGCTTGGCATCTTTGGAACTCAATATTGAATGTCAGTTTGGGTGTCTGATTTTAGGCCCCATGCAAGTGTATGAATATTGTGACATATGCTTAGGGCAGCAGGGATTCAGTAAGGTTGGACTATTTATCCTATGCCTGGTGCATGCTGTCTGAGCTCCATATAAAGCTGTTACTTTGGGAGAAATGATTTACAGGGGTGTGGTTAGGAGCCTGAACTCTCTATACCTGCTGGGGGAGAGGATGGGGGGCAGACAGGAGCAGTGCATCCTGGGATGCTGAAGGGCTTCAAATTGCTTGTTTTATCTCTGTGGAGCAGACTGAAGCTACCCTAACATAGGCTAAATGTTAGGACAGCCCAGTGTTAACCCTCACCTGAAGTGGTACAACTGTGGGATGCTCAGGGGGCACTTAACAAGAGTTAATAAGCTTTAATATGCAGACACTCACATTTTAAGTGCCCTTAGTATGATCTAATTGTAACGTATAACTTCGCCTTAATTGTATCAAGGGAGTTTCTCGAACTTTTGGCGCTTGCCTAAACTAAACCTCTGGATTTTATGAGGTTTATTCATCACAATATAAGATGTTTAACCTGTGACACCTTTAGTCCAGTGTAGCCTGACTCCAAAAGTTACTGCAAGTCCAGACTGGGATGGCTTGCCAGAGATGGATGCACGTTAGTTTAAGGGAGTTTTTCATAGAACCTGGCTACACTTCTGCCTGCAATTATGATTTTCTATTGTTATGAGGGGAACAATCATCATGTTCTCCTAAACCTAACCATAGCATTCAAAAGTATAAAAAACTGACCACGGTAGTGATTAAATTTTGTTCTTGCATCTTGCAGGCAGCAATAGCAATTTCCCCCAGGGAAAAATACAAGGCCTTAATCCTTTCAGTAAGTACCATACTTGTTTGTTCCCTTTTTGGAGTTGTTGTTTTTTTGCATGACAGCCATCCGCAGAGAATCCATGAAAGCACTCCCCACTTTCATAAATATCAGCTGTTCAATGACCTTTAAAGTTGAGAAGGGAGTTAAAACCAAGAAATATGGACTTTCTTTCACACCATTGCAGTTATCCTGGACTTCAGCTTTCCTAATGGGAATAACAATACCCACTGTTTATAAAGTACACTATTAAGCAGGTATTTTAGGCTTTTTGTTATGGTGCTACTTCTGCAAATGCACTTACAATTTTCATGAGCCAGGTAAAGGATGATGTGTGCATGCAGGGAGCAAAAGATTTACAATTCTTCTTTTTAGGGTAAAGAAAGGCATATTTATTGCAAGTTTGGTTGATAAATGGCATGTATAGACATGCTTAGATATTTCTGAGACATTTGACATAATGCTGTATGACATCCATACTAAATTTAGTAGTGTCAAATGCCAATAAAGCACATACAAAATAGATTAACAGCTGGCCTTCTAACCATTTAAAAAAAGTTATCAATGCAGAATCATTTTCAAGTGAACATTTCTAGTGGGTTCTAGAGCATCAGGTCTGATGGTATTCATTTCCGTGAGTTATCCAAAAGTCAATGGCTAATCGTTGGTGATGAAGTTTGTAAATGATGTAGAGTTCGTAAATGTTGAAAACAGGGCAATCATACAGGGTACTTCAGATCATTTGATAAGCTGAGCCAGGTCAAATAAAATGTTTTTTCAGTGCAGCTAAGTGCAAAATCATACCTCTAGGAACAAACACTGCAGGACCTACTTTCAGAATATGTACCCAGTAGGGGTTCTGAAGAAAATATAGAGGTCATAGTGTACTGGCAACTCAACATGAGCTTCTGCTGTGGTGCTATGGCAAAAAGGGCCAATACACTCTTTGAATGTGGAAACAGGAGAGCTGAGAGTAGGTAGGGGAATGCTGTTACCTCTGTGCGCAGTGTTAGTGATACTGATATTGAAATATATCCAGTTCTGGTGTCTGATTTAAAAAAATGCTGAGAAATTAGACAAGCTGGATAAAAGAGCAAAAGAAATTATTTGAGGACTGGAGAAAATGTCTTACAATGCGAGTCTTAGAGTTCAATCCATTTAGCTTATCACAAAGAAGAATGAGAAGTGACTCAGTTGCAACATAAAAGTACCTTTACAAGGAGAAAATACCAAGAGCTGAAGGACTCTTTAATCTTGCACAGAAAGACAGTATAAAAAGCCAGTGGTTGGAAGTAGAAGTCTAAGATAGACTAATATAAATAGGAAATTAAACATCAAATTTTAAAGAGGAGGGTAGTGATCAGCCACTGGAACAAACTGCCCACACAAGTGATGGATTCTCCATTTTCTTGATGTCTTCAAATCGGGATCAGATGCTTTACTGGAAGATCTGCTTTGGTCAAACGCAGGTTGTTGAGCTCAACACAGGGTAACCGAGTAAAACGTAATTGCCAATGTACTACAGGAAGTCAGGCTAGTTGATGTAATGGCCTCATCTGTCCATAGTACCTATGAATCTGAAAATCAACGGAAGTGGCAGAATTACCTTTATTACAAGCCCGTGGATCATGGAGGATTTCTTATCTATTTTCCCATAAAACTGCATCTCTTTTAAGAAAAATGTTATCTTTATATGTCTATCATTTACAATAGTTTATTGGTAAGTATAGGTATTTTGATTTGTTTTTGCTTGAGAACAGCGTAGGCTAATAGAAACAAACAGCATTAGTCAGAAGGGCAATTTTCCCATGGTCTCTACCTTCCAAAGGGATGGATAGATTTAGTTTGGGTTCTGCAGAAATGTTCCCCTTTCACCTCAGGGTAAATGTGGTGATCTTCAGGCCTTCCAGAGTGCTTTTCTGTGTGAGTTGGGTGTGGTTACTTAGACAACATTCAGGAGGGTGCACTTTTTTCCACAAGCTTCCAGCTTTGCTGGCCAGTGCAGAAAGGGGGCAGGGACATGGCCTTGTCTCCTTTTTGGAGGCAACTCAATGGTACCCACTAGAGAACTGGCCACAGTCAAATCCAGCGGCACTATACTGGTCAATATTGTTAATGTTATGCACGTGCCAGCCTTGACTAATCAGAACAAGGAGTTGGCACATCAGTGGGTGTGAAACTCCTGGCTAACTGAGCAGCCCTTTTGTGCTCAAATCTGAGCTATACCAAGGGGATTTTCAAGCAACTAACATTTTCCACCCCACTGAATCTATACTCATGCCTCACTGTGCATTTTAAATCCCAGCATTAGATTTTGGATCCAAGACTAACAGCACAGTAGTCTTTGGATCATATGTTCCAGAGACACCTTTGAGAGAGGTTCATTGGGAAAGTTGCTAGGTCCTGCTGCTGGGGGGCTGAGCAAAAAAACGCTTGGGCTTTTCACTGCTTGCTTGCTGGGGAAGCCAGCCAGCTGGCCACCTTGGAGATGATTTGCTCTGACAGTAGAGCAAAGTTGTCTGGAATCAGTGCTCAGCCCAAGCAAGATTCAGCCCAAGGGAGAAGGGAAAGGGGGAATTGTTTTGTCAGGATTGCTTGGCCATTCCCAAGGGAGGGGTAAGATTATGGATAGCAGTAGTTTGAGTTTAGTAATATATCCGTTCCTAAGGCTTCATGTTCACAAGTTGGTCAGAGCTGTCTTTTCTGCAACACAGTTGCTCATTAGATCCTGCTCTGAAATCTTTGTTCTGCAGAAGAGATTGTGCCATATATTTAACATCAACAGTCTGTGAATTGAGGGTTTAATCTGGGTATATCTCTCTTCCCTTTCCACTCCCTTTACCAAATGTTCCACCTACCCATTTCAGTAGGACGCCTGGTCTAGGAGGAGATCTGAATGCAGGGTCCAACCCAAAGGAAGGACAGCTGGACGGACAGACACCCTGCTGCTTGTGAGCACATGGGCAGCAATATCCACCGTAGCAGAAGTGGCACCCAGAACGTTTGCACTTTTTTTTTTTTAAATACTTGGTTTGGTTTTTGATTTATTGTTAATGCCATTATCTAATACTCTGCAGGGGAGGGGGCAGGAAGAGCATGACTTTTTTTTTCTTTTTTTTAATTGGAATAGCTACTGACGTTTGCTGGGACTTGAGAAAGAGATTTTTATATACTGTATATAAATATATATGTAAATTGTACAATTGTCTTGTACAGGGGTTGGAGTCACTGTTCTGTTCCTTCCTTTGATTTCTAAGGCTATTCAGGTTAGCGTAAAGGAACACATTGCATTACTGGATTCCAACAAGGCATTGATTTCAGCGACTGATCCATCTGCCAGCTGCACATCAATCTCTCAAGTATCCCACTGCATGTAGAAGTGAATATATTGACCCAGCTAGTGCTCCCAAGTGTTCCTACAGAGTACTGAGTGCTTCCTGGGAATTGCTGAATAGCCCCAGTTCTGATGGTTGGTGAGAGCCCTCTGTAGCTTGCAAGCATGGGCCGCTGAGAGAGTACAGCTACAGCTTAACTGTCAGTGCAGCGAAGAAGTGTTTTTGTATGTGAGCATATGTGAGGGAGAGGTTGAAACATGAACGCCCTTAAGTGTGGAAGGGGCAGGGGAGCTGCAGGGGGAAGCCCAGCTGTGCCATAAGGAAGATATGCTGCACCAATACCATGTCTAGGGTCACTAGGAGAACCAGCAGGCTGCCAATGCTAGGAAAACATACTACAGGCCCCAGTAGTGTCAGGAGAGTGGGTGGGGAGAGAAACTGTCTATCTTCATGTGTGCCAAAGTAACCACAAATGTCCCGTATAACTATATGAAGGACAAGAAATCAAGTAGCTTTGCCCTGCACAGCAGGAGCATCTGCCAGCCTAGTGACAGGCACTGGAGAGATGAGAGTGCATTTGTCAGAACAGAAAGATACAGGAAGAGACCAATCCCCAGGTGCCTCGTTAATATAAATGGCATCTCTGCCATTTGGCTCATTCTTTTTCTGAAGGCATTGGTCATTCCTGCGCAGAACCATGGGTCCCTGTGTTTCTTCGATGTGAATCCATAGCTCCCTGCCTGTTTAGTAGGGTGATGCATTGGCTCACAATAACCTTATCCCATTTTTCTGCACCCTGCTAATATCGGTGTTTTAAGCTCTAATAACACACTATTAAAGCAGTGGCAGTGGCTCAGATTGGCTAGACTGCTACTTTTAGAGGTTTCAAAGGGACTGCTTCAACTGGTTATGCTTTGGCCAAGATCTTTGTCTGCTATTCACAGTTAGATACAATAGTAAATTCTGCCGAGGGACAGGAACACCTAGACCCTCTACTGTGCATAACAGCCAGTGGGAGCATAGAGCTTACTATGAAACAGTGTGTTCCTGCTTCGAGCATCTCTGGTTTTCTTGACCCTTAGTGGGGCACAGCAATCTCCCATCTATCAGACACCTAAACCTTTCTTTCACTTACTTGTATGCACACCCTAATCCTCATGCTGTTCTGATGCACTTGCCTTAGGTACCTGTTGTTTGCATTCAGTATTATGGGGGACAGCTCTCTGATGATAGTTACCCAAGTACTTTAGCCATTTTACCCACAATGAGGCTTCTGAGGTGTTGCATTTAATTTGGTGAAGGGTGATCCCCTCTTCCACCTACTTATACACAGAGGGAATCTGTAACCAACTCTCAAGCAATTAGGAAATGGTGAGCAGCCATGAATATTGTTAATAGGATCTGGGTTTGAAGCCTGCCCTGGTTTAGATCCTGTTAAAGCTATAATAGCAGTACCATTTCAGTGTCCCAAAATGGATATTGATGGCAATGCCAGGCATTGTACCATGGCCTTGTGGGTTACATGCGGAACATTGTTTCACAACAGTATTTCGTTGCAGTGTGACAGAGGGGACTTTTAACAAACTGTGGCCATGTTGCTTAGTTATATAATTGTGTGACATGGCAAGTCCACCTTTTCCTGGGATGGCAGCACTTTGTGACAATAGTGTCACAGCCGAAACATCCCAGTGCCCCAGCACAGCAAACTTGCACCACATTTAAACACCCAGATGGAGCCTTCCTCACAAATATCACTCACTGGATTCCAGGACTTGGGATCTCACTGCTTGGGAGTAGGTTTGAAGCTGGTGGAAGCATTTGGTCTAAATTAAAAAAAACAAACCAATTGACCCTTAACAAGTACCTTTGTGAAGTGCAAGTCTCACAGGTGTGTTGTAAAGAAAAGCTTTTGCTTTATAAACAGTCCTACCCATTGCTGACTTCTTTGTTGTAAGTCACCTGTAACGTATGTCCGCTTTATGCCTGCAAGTCTGCTTTCTGCTCATTGCTTTTCCTTTTTTATACAGAACCATTTTGTGTACGGATGTGTTAAGTGGATTTGGTTCAGTGTATAATCACAGATGTCAATATCCTCCCACTAATCCTGCAGTAGGAATGAAGAACAAGCCCAGCCTTGTAAAAACATTGTGCTGTATCTTGAGGAATGATGGGCTGGCTGGTGTTGTCATTTAGTACTATATCCAGCAAGGGCCAAAGATTGATGCTAGGGCTATAGGATACTCTCATGCAATTGCAGGGAGCAGGATGTGCCCAGCAAAAGGGGTGAGGTTCTCAGTGTAGCCATTGCCTGCTTGCCCAGGCAGAAAAAAAATGGTTAAATTGAGCCTTAGTAACTGGGACTTCTTTGCTAAAACTCATTGGCTGCTGGGGAATTTAAATCATCCAGATTTACTGCTATATCATCCCTTCTGCAGCCCTAATACTGCAGTTGTCAGTCCTGCCTCCCTTCCTTCCAAGAGATGCTTAAGCAATATGTGTGCATGTGCCCTCCACTAGCTGACAGCTTTGGGCAGCTCTTCAAAACGCCAAGTGGTTGTTGGCTAAATGTGTCAGCATCAGTCTCAGTTAGACCCTAACTGTAGCTTTCTGCCAGGACTGCCTCATAGAAAGGGAACTGAGAAGTAAATATCCTCCCCTTCCATAGTTGAAGAATAGGACCTAGTACCCTGAGTTACTGTCTTCGGGGAAGGTCCCAAAATAGTCTCTTGTATTGCCTCTATGGTGGATGGTTATGTGGGCTTGAGGCTCCTAAGTGATTCAGGAGTTCTGGTGACTGTGTATGTTAGAAGGTCATACAGAATATTCTGGTTTTGTAGCATAAGCCATGGTCATAGGGTTGTCCAACTCAAAGGTACGCAGTGGCTGAAACTCCCTATGGAATTATGATGCTAGTGACAGCAGGTTCTCCCAAGACTGAAACTAGAGGCTGTTAATGAAGTTAGGTAGTCATGGGATTACAAGGAAGGCCCACTCATGGACTAGAAATTGGCTTAAGGTTGAGAGAAAAAAAAGAGCGAGTATAACAGGGCAGTTTTGGGGATGGGAAGAAGTGAACAGTGGGGTCCCCTAGGGATTTGTATTGGTACTAGTACTGTTTTAACACATTCATAAATGATCTGGAATAGGGGGTGAGTAGTGAGATGGCCAAATTCATGGATGACACAAAATTATTTAAAGTAGTAAAGACCAAGGTGGGCTGTGAGAAACTACAAAATGATTTTACACTTATGAGTGAATGGGTGATTAAACGGCAGATGAAATTCAATGTAGATTAAGTGTTAAGTGATGCATACTGGGAAATAACCTGAATTATACATACATACATTATGATGGGCTCTGGTGTAGCTGTTACCACAGTCATTGTGGACAGCTTGCTGAAAACCTAAACTCAGTGCTCAGCAGATGTCAAAAGCCAAACAGTTAGGGATCATTAAGAAGGGAATTGTGAACAACACAAAGTATCATTATGCACATTTATAAATCCATGGGGCATACACACCTTGAATACTGGGCCCAGTTTTGGTTCCCACACCTCAAAAAGGATATAGAAGAACTAGAGAAGGTTCAGAGAAGAGCAACAAGGATGATTAATGGTATGATGGGGGGACTAAAGATGCTGGGCATATTTGTTTTAGAAAAGAGGCACTTGAAAGAAGACATGATAAGGGTTTACAAAATACTAAGTGAAGAAGAGAAAGTAAACAGGATTTATTATTTACTCTCTCTCATAATACAGGAACTAGGGGTCATAAAATGAAACTAGTAGGTCGTAGGTTTAAAACTAACAAAAGAGGTTTTTTTTCACACACTGTAATTAAAGCATGGAACTCATTTGCCACCAGATGTTGTGGCAGCTGACAATGTAACCAGATTCAAAAAGAGATTGGACAAATTCTTGGAGGAAAGGTGCATCAGTAGCTATTGAGCTTGGGAGTTAGGGGTATAGCCTCTGAATTGGCGCTTCCTGGACCTTAAAGGCTGGAAGCTGCAAGTGGGAGAGGAACGGGAAAAACCCTGGTTATACCCTGTTCACTCTCTCCCTTTTAGCACCGAACCTCTGGCACTGTGTGACAGGATACCAGGCAAGATGGAACTATGGACCTTATGTAACACCTCAGGTCACTACCACCACCACTCTTCCCCCCCAAAAAACCTTCTGGCATCCAGGCATCCTGGCTATGGGGCAGGTGTCATCAAACACATCCTTATCTAGAAGTGTCAGGACAAGTCCTGCTCTTGTGTGTACCAGTAGGAGTCAACAGAGATCAATAAGGTCACGTAATTATCTGCAGAAACAGAATTCATACATGTTTCTTCCACCATTGTGAATCTTCCTGATTCTGTTCATCTTTACCATGAATAAGTGGTGGAAGCAGCTGGGACAAAGGTGAAGAGACCAGGGGTCACACACAATGTCATCTGTAGGCAGCACTGTTCCTGTGGGAGGGAGAAATCCTTCCTTGTTTGCTGGTCCTGACTAACACAATGGAGAAGACAGACTGTCTTTGATTTAGGGTGGGAATCCCCTCACATGGAGGATATTTGGTTTCAACACTCCTGAAGGTAAGGGGGTAGGGAGGTAATATTCTAAGCCCAGGAGAAATGTGGTATGGAACATCTCCCAGTGGTTTTGTCTACAGCATTGTTTGTTAGGCTGAAAGGCATCTGGTTATTGTTGGTTTTGTAATAAAATAGATAAATCTTGCTTCAGTGTCTCCTGGTGACTTCTTGTGGAATCTTAATTTCCAGAATCTATCCCCAGCCTTCCACTTCGCACTCCTGAGAGTCACTTCAGCAGGGCCAGGCAAAAGGTGTCTGTTCATACAGGCCCATGCCAATCTTTGCTTTGGCTGTGACACCGACAGTCAGTGTGAAACACATCTCAGAGCTCAAAGTGAAACTTGTCCAAAGTGAAAGTGTCTCATGTTTCAGCAACCACCACCCTGCAAGTTTTGAATCCTCCCCCAAGGCACCGCCTGGATTGTGGAGTGAAACCCGAAGCACCTTGCCCAATCTGGGATTTGATAACCCAAATTATGCACAGTTCTCATGGGGAGTAGAGATGGCTGCAGGCAGGAATTCACAAATCATCCATCACTCCACCTTGCACTCAGGAAAAACTCAGATGCCAGCTTCATAAATACTCATCCCTCTGGGGTCTGAAGTTGGGTCCTTACTGAGAACATTGTCTGATAGCACCTTCCCTGAAAGTTCCCTTAAGGCTTGTGATATTAACAAGATACGTGTTTGGAAATTATCTTTAAGTACCATTTTAAAACATGCCTTTTCATAAGTAAAGGGTGCACCCATTTCATACGTCTTTAACATCGATAGGATTTTTTTCACTGGTAACTGTTAAACACACACATGACCTGCAGGTGGCAGTATCCACCCTCCTGTTTAATTCACTAGGGAAATGCTTTGAACTCCTACTAAAGATTAGAACTGGAACTGATACCTTTTATTAGACCAACTGGGAAATCACAAGACAATTGTCCTTTTCTGCAAGTGTTCAGGATCAAAGTCCCTTCGGCAGGGTCTGGGAAAAGTATAGATGGTACAAGATGGTAAAAAGTCCCCATTCATCACCATTTACGTCGTTTTTCTCATACATGTTCTGACTAAGACCTTTCTTTGTTTGTGATGAGCTGAAGTCATCCATTAAGGCACAGCAGGAGAGGTAATAAAATGGGTTTGGAGAGCCCTAGCAGAGAGGTCTTTTGCTTTGAAAATGTCAACTGGCCAGCATTTTTCCAGGTAAGATAGGAAGGTGAGATCTATGATGAGGTCCCTAACTGCCAGTGTAGGTCTGAAAAATATATTGTTGAATTACTAGGTGATGTATGGTGATTGTCAGTTTTATTGTGAACCTAACAAGGAACTTAAAAGAGTTCTCTTCAATTGATACTCATCTATCTATTGGGGAAATACACATAAAAACCTTAAACTATCCAATCCATTTGCCCATTCCTCCTGTTCTCAGTGACCCCACACAATTTTTAAGCCTCTCAATTTCCTAAAAAATAAGACAAATATTTTCAAATATGATTGCCTAAAACTAGGTACATAAATCTATACCCAGTCTCTTAAGCAGCTTGATTTTTTTTTTCAGGGGGCCATACACTTGAAGCTTTTATTCAATTTAATTTTTATTACAGCTTGGAAAATCATGGTTGCCCAGTGCATCTGAAATTTGGGCCATTTGTTTAACTGCATATATGTGGGTTTAAGTGATTTTTTTTTTTTTCTTTTAAGTCCTACCTAGCTGCATATCATTAGGCAGCCACAGAAATTTGAAAACACACTTGGTACTAAGGTCCCAGGACTGAGAGCTTAACAATTTTTAACCTATTCTTCTCTACTGGGAAGTGGTGCACATGTTAGCCACAGCAAGAAAATATTGAACTGAAGCAGTGCCTCTCCATTTATCTGTATGTGTCTGAGGGAAGCAAGGGCACATACAGACATACAGGTTTGGTATGGATAAGCTTATTGAAAAAGCGGAGTCCAAGTTCAGTTTTCATCTCAGATCCAGATCATGTTTTTTGCCCTAACTTTGAGGGGGTTAGGCTTTGCCGTTCGAATTCAGATTCCAGCTACGGCTTCAAGTAGGGAGTGGAACAAAAGGCAGTCAGTCTGTTAAACTCAGTTATCTGGGATAACAGCTTTTAATGCTAAATCCTCTTTCCCCAGTTGAACGTTTCTCAGTGGGACCAATGGAGGGCATTGGTGTCCTTAGAACTTGTCAGCTAAATCACTTATGCATAGGTTTAGGGAAAGGGAGAGAAGAAAGGAGAAAGTAACATTTTTGGAATTGATTAGTGATTGTGTGTGCCTTCATATTTGGGGGCTTAACATAAGATACTGCAAAGGATCTTATTTTTCAGAAAGTGGGTGCTCTTTGCTTTCTTAAAACCAGTTTCTTTCTAGTAGCTGTTTGGACACCAAAGAATGTAAGTGCTATAAACCATTCTTGACTGCTTGAAAATCCAGCCTTCAGTTATCACGCAGCAATTCAAGGGGCAGCCTGTCTCCCCCCTGAAATGACTTGCTTGCCAGCAGCCTTCAACAGCCCTGTAGTTGGGTCACATTAGAAACATTAATCATAAAAAGGCTACAAACTTAAATTAAAAATATATATCATATAAATCCATAGCAGCAGCAGGGGTCATCTGGCAATTTTATCTTGCATAAATGAGTATTGCTTCATCCTGGCCCCAGCCTGACTCAGGCTCGGAGAAGTGATGGCAAAATGCACCATGTGGGAATCTCTTTCAGTGAGTCCAAAACTCTTCGGCTCAAATTATAAATTAAAAGGGATGATTTTTTTTTAAATGCCAGTCTTAGAAATGGCATCTACTCTAGTTCTGTCTCTGACTTCATGGAATCATAGAGAAGAAGGGCTGGAAAGGACCTCTATGGGTCATCTAAGCCAAACCACCTGCCTGAGACAGAATCATCCCTATTCAAAGCATCCTGTACAAATCCATAATCTAATCTCTTACAGTCAAGGCGTAATACCTTAACCTGCCACAGGTAAAGCAGGGGGACCATGGCAACCTGTTTCTGTAAAAGGTCAATATATGTACAAGTGATTCTCAGATAGAGGGCCATGTCTTTTGCTACAGAGGAAGGCCAAACCCCCCACCATCTGTACCAATCTGACTATAGGGTAAAATTCCTTGCTGACCCCAAATATAGTGCTCAGTCTGACCCTGAGGGCAGAGGCAAGACCCTCCAGCCAGAAACCTCCAGCTTTAAGTCTCAGCAGAATCATTGGCACATCCTAGTCAAGATCCTGAGCCTTGGCTGCGGCCAACACCCAATGCCCAACACCCAATGCCTCTGAGGAAGGCTTACAAATCTACCCCCTGACATGTTGCAGCAAGGGGGTGGGGGGAATGGGTGGCAGAATTCCCAGACTCATGTAGCAACCAGCAAAACTCAGAAGCATGGGAAATACCCAGAATAGGATTCACTACATATAATTAAGAATTTTGAAGGCTCTGTT